CATCCAGAAGTTGCCAAACATAACATGAATACCACCTCCTGCAGGGAGGGGATGCTGTGTGGCTATTTAGTGACAAAAAACCCCAACAAAAACCCAAACAGAGAGAGAGAGAGAGAGAGAGAGAGAGAGAGAGAGAGAGGGAGAGACTTGCTGATTTTTAAAACAAGAGTCACATATTCAAGCAAATAAAACAAGATATATTTAAAATTTAATAATTTCTCCAATCTATTGGTAGCAATTTTATACAATTCCCAGTCCCTCCCTTCCTTTTTTCCTTCCTTCCTCTTTCCTCCTTTTCTTTCCTCCTCTCCTTCTCTCCCTCTCTTCTTTTCTTCTTTCTTTCTTTCCTCCTCTCCTCTCCTCTGCCCTCTCTGTTTCTGTCTGTCTGTTTCTTTCTGGTACTGGGGATCAAGGCCGGGGCATTCCACCACTGAGCTACATCCTCAGCCCTTTAAAAAATTTTTTTTAAAGTTTTGACAATCTTACTAAGTTGCCCAGAGTGACCTCAAATTTGCTTCCTGCCTTAGCCTCTCAGAGTGCTGGGATTACAGGTGTGCCCTGCTGGGCCTGGCCTGGTATTTTTATACTGTAGAACATATCATAAATTTCTCCCTTGGTCAATAGCTATGCCTACATTCTTTGTAATAGCTGTATGATATCCAAAAATATGAATGTGTCACAAATAATTTAACTATTCCCATACTGACAAAGTTGCTGCCCATTTCCAGTCTGCACAATGTTTCACTGAAGCCCATAATGTGGGATTACCAGGTCAAAGGGTTATCATTAGAGATTAATATATCACTTCCCCCATATTTAGTTACTATTTAGTTTCCCATTGCAGTGTAAGAGCACTCTCCTGACACCAGGCCAGCAGTGAACAGTACTGTGATGTTTGTCAATCTTATAAGAGAAAAACCAGTACTTTAAGGTTGTTTTAATATATATTTCCTTTATGGCTTTTGGATTTCTTCTCAACCAAGGTATGGCCTCCCTGCCTTACATTACACAGATTATATCTTTCTTTCTTTTCTTTTCTTTTTTTTGAGACAGGGTCTCACTATGTAGTTCAGGCTGGCCTTGAACTCACTTTGTAGGCCAGGCTGGCCTTGAGCTTGCGGTGATCTGCCTGCCTCAGCCTCCCGAGTACTGTGATTACAGGCATGTGCCACCATGTCCTGCTCAATACAGATTATATATTTCTTTGTTGTTGTTGTTTGGTTGGTTGAGACAGGGTCTCTCTGTAGTTCAGACTGGCCTTGCACACACTGTGTAACTCACGTTGGCCTCGAACTTGCAGCGATCCTCCTGCCTCAGCCTTCCCAGTGCTGGGATTACAGGTGTGCACCACCACACCCAGTTAGATTATATATTTCTTCATTTTCTTTTTCTATTAGCTTTGACTTTTATATTTAGACCTCTAATCACACATTCTCTTTTTATTTAAACAGATTTTTCCCATTATCTTATACATTAGCTAAAATCTCTACTGCAAAGCTGAATGACAATGGTAGCAAATATCAGTGTCTTGTCTGTGATTTTGATGGAAAGATCCTAGGTATTTCAGTTTAATCTGATGTTTGCTTTTGGATGTTGGTAAAGATGTTTATAATCAGAACTACCGTCTGCAGTTGTGCAAATGTGCAGTACACAACAAGGCCACATCTAGTAGGAGTTTGCTCTCTTCCAGTGCAAAGAAATAGTTTAAAGTACTTGTTCCTTAAAGGTAAACATATAAAACCATCCAGACAAGATGGCTTTTGTAAGTGATAGATTTCCTATGACCTTATTGTTGTGGGTCTGTAAAAGCTTTGTAATTCTTCTTGGATCAAATTTGGTAGTTTTTATTTGCAAGAAAATAATCCTTTTTTAAAAAAAGAAAGAAAATAATCCCTTTTTTCTGTAAGATTTTTAAGTATATTACCATCTATATCTATCTCTATAATTTTTTGTGTGTGCTAGGAACTGAACTCAGGACTTCTCACATGCTAAGCACATGCTCTGCCACTGAGCTACACTCCATATATTAAAATTTAATAATTGGCCCTAATTTAATATTATTTGTATCTATGATTATATTTCTCATTCTGAATGTTATACATTTTGGTTTTACTTAATTAAGCTTGCCACGGCTTATTATATTTTTAATGAACTAGCTTTTATTTTACTTATATTTTCTTCTCTTTTTTATTTAAAGTCATGGTAGGCCAAATAGTGCTCTTCCTCAAGTTGTCCATGCCATAATCCCTGGATGGTGTGAACATATTACATAATATTGCCAAAGGGTCTTCATAGATGTAATTAATGTCTTACAACTGGGAGATAAACCTGGATTATCTGAGTCATTCCAATCTAACCATGCGAACTCCTTTTGGCTGGGCTGAAGAGAAGAGAAAAGGAGGAAGAAGCAGGAGAAATCATAGGGATTCCAAGCCAGTGAGATGGATACGATGCTCCATTGCTTAGACAGAGAGGGCCACAGACAAGGAACAAAGAAGAGATGATAAGGCTTAGGGTCACCTCCATCTGACAGCCACCAAAGAAATGAGAACCTCAGTCTTACAACTGGAAGGCCTTAGATTCTGCCAATAGCCTGAATTAGCTTGGAAGCTAATTCTACCCTAGATTTGCCCAATAAGAGCCTTGCATTAGGCCTTGTTAGATCTAAGCAGAGAAAGCAAACCAATCTGGACTTCTGTCTGGGAGACTGTAAGTTTGTGTTTTCATAAAGCATTAAATGTGTGGTAATGTGTTATGGCAATAATAGGACACCAAAGAATTATTCAGGGAATTTTTTTGTTTTTGTTAATTTACTTTCCTGCTGTTTTCTTTAATTTCTCAAGTGATTCATTTCTGTAGCTTAAGTTTTTTTTTTTAAGAAGGCCTTTAAAAATTTATACTCCTCTGAGAATCAATTTAATTAAGAGTCATATATTTTAGAAGTGAACTCCTCAATATCCCTTAATTTTACATATTAAGATGTAGACCAGAGTACAGTAGGCTTTTAGTGATCTGGGATTAAAAGACATGCCTGGTATAGAAAAGCTACTATTACTTATTTATTCATTCATTTTATTATTTACTTATGCTTTATCATTATTATGCAAGAAATAGTTATGTTGAGGAAATATTAGATGATATAAAAAGTAAAAAGAAAATTAATCAACTGGCATGCAGCCAACTACAGATAATCACATTTAATATTTTGGGCACATATCTTTCCAGATGTTCTGAGAATGCCTTGGCATACAACTAACTCAAAACAGGCATTTTATTTAGTCTGTTTAAAATTATTCACTCAGAAGCACAGAGCTAGTGTACTTTTACCCAGAACGTGGAGCCTTTTGCAATCTAGGTGATCAGACAGCAGTAAACAAACAATGTGCAACATATGAAGAGCTTCACAGAAAGCCATGGATGTACTGGGGCCGAGATGCAGGGTCTCCGCTAAGGGTGCTCAAACACAGGCTGGATGAGTGTGGGGAAATTGTGCAGACAGTGGAATGAAGTACAGATGGGGAAGGTCAGGACTCAGACCTGGGCCTGAGCCCAAGCTCTGCTGCTGGCTGGGTAACTCTGGGACAGTTATTTCCCACTGTGCCCTTGGCATCAGTGCAGGATTTCTCATTCAGATGAACAAGTGAGATATGCAGAATGCTGCCCAGGGCACTGGCTATGGCCACACTCTGCATGTTGATGGGGTGCAGGAACTGAGGCAAAGCCAGGGTAACCGAAGTCTCAAAGCAGAATAGTGATTAAATAACTGCAGAGATGCCGGCGTCCACACAGGTGCCCAGAGCAACTGGCAGGTCTTAGTGGCCCTGCCCTTGCCATCCTCCTCTCAAAGGGGAGTAGCAGTGAAGGGAAATGCTTGCCAGATGTGATCCAGAGGCTGAAAATACCAAGCAAAAAATTAACCCAGGAACAGGCGATGTGAGCTGGGCTCAGCTATCCAATTACAGAAATCTTCTTTGTTCTTTCTTGATTGGGAAGATTATGGTTGATACCATGTTTTCTTTGTGCTTCCCTCCTGTCTAATTCCTTTCCATTCCCAATCCCTACCTCCACACCTGCTATCACAAACAAATAATTAGTAGTATCCTCAGAGACATTTTTATTTAACAAAAATTCAGGAAGCTTTAAGGTTTGGAAATTTTTATTTCTTTCAGAAGAAAAATGGCAACTGCCTGCTAAGAGGTTCTGTTTTTAAAGGGGACCATATGTTTTAGGATAAGCCTTAGGATTTTGTGGATCACTCCAGTGTTTCACCTCACTTATCTCCATAGACAAGTAAGGCTTGTGATGGTGTTCCAATCAAGTAGTCGAGTATATTCTGTACTAAGTAAGTAAGAGAAGTGAATCAATATAGTTAACTAAGATTTTTCAACAAAGTTGTTAAGACCCAAAAGACTCTCATTAACATGTTTTTGGCACCAGGGATCGAATTCGGGACCTTGCACTTCCCAGGCAGACGGCGGCACCACTGAGCTAAATCCCCAGGCCTCTCATTAACTTTTATTTCAGTGACCTAGGACAGCCAACTGCCTATCACACTCCACAAAATTAGGTTTAAATAAAGTGCTCTCAGGGTATGTACCTTTAAAAAGAAAAGGGTGGATAATGGGAAGATAGTCACTGTGCCTTTGAAATCTAGCAAAAAGTTATAAACTATTCACTTTTAAAGGTAAACCTAGAAAAGTGGCAGAGAATGTAGGAAAGAAATCTACAGCTTCGCAAATGCTAGTAGAACCTAAAGTCAGCACATGGAACCTGAAGTCTGGGAGAGGCCAGTCTAGATGTTAGAAGATGACAATTTCCTTACTTACAGATGTCAATATTTTAAATGTCACATTCCAACTCATAGACTGAATTCAGCAGTTCCAGTGTCCATTTAGCAGAAAAGAGTTGTAATAGAAGCAAATGTAAAGAATACTTAGAAAATCTCCATAGTCTCTGAATTGCTTTCCTTTTTATACTTATAAATATACTAAGGCACTCACCTGTAAGACATAGAGTATGACAGCTATCAGTCCAACCCAGCTGTGCAGGCTGTACAAATTGGGGAGGTTCCTGGCCCTGCGGTTTTCAAAAACAGCCACCAGGGAGATGATTGAAAGAATGGCAGCAACAGCGTTTAACCCCGCGTGGATGGACTTCATCAGGAGCTTGCTGCATTTCCAGGTCCATGGTAGTCTGTATACGATGATGGCTATGAAGACAGAATGTGTTTAAAAAAGAAAACAAAATAAATGATCTGACAGACTGGACACTCCTTTCGTGAAACCCTCTTCCCTTGGCTTCTGCTTCTCCCCGCTTCCCCGCATTACTCCTGCCTCTGAGTGGCTTCTTCTTAGGTGCCTTTGCTGCCATTTCACTCCCGTGTTTATGGCCGAAAGAAATATGTGCCTATGTTAACCAAAAGATGCACTCTAGAGTATTACTAGCAGCACTGCTTACAGTAGGTGAAACTCCCCAAATGCCCATCATCAACAGAATGAAGAAAATGCGATATATTCACACCATGAAATAATGTACAGCAAAGAGAATGAATGATCTGTAGGGACAACTACACCTAATGACACAGATCAGCCTAGAGTGTCAACCCCCAAAAGCTGGACACTTCAGTTTATATGAAGCATAAAAGCAGGCAAAACTTGTCCGTGCAGTGAGAGAAGTCAGGACAGTGGTTGCCTGTTTCAACCTCATTTATCCCACACACACATGTGCATGGGCCCTTCCTAGGTAACAGACACCATGCGAAGTGCTTTACACGTTTATATTTCAATTCTCACCCCAATTCTCTGAGAAAGGTCAATTTTTTATTACTGTTGTACAGAGGAGGAAGCTGGTACATAGAGAGATTAATTTGTTCAATCTCAATTAGTGTTTTAAAATATTATTGCTATGGGGCCAGGGATTTAGCTCAGTGGTTCCGCCACCTGCCTTGCAAGCACAAGGTCCTGAGTTCGACCACCAGTACCAAAAAAAACCATTATTGCTAACCAGGCACTGTAGTGTGCACCTGTCATCCCACATCCCAGCTACTCAGGAGGCTGAGACAGGAGGATTTCAAGTTCAAGGTTAGCCTGAGCAACATAGTGAGACCTTGCCCCCCCCCGATTTATATCTATATATGTTATTATTGTCATTATCACCATTGTGTCAATCAACACCTGAAGGAAGGATTCTTAGGTGAGTGAACTCGAACATCTGCATACAAAAAGGAAGTATTCGAGATGTGTTTGCTTGAAGATGAAATTATGAACAATAAACCATACATACATACTATACATACATATATACATACAGCTTTCTCTTGGCCTGGATCATATTACACCAAAACTTCCAAAGTAAAAACTAACCTCTGATGTTAAAAGTCAGGAGTAGTCATTGTAATTGAAAGACTGGGGGATTCTAGGGTGTTTGGAACGTTGTTTCTTTAGGTGGGTACCCAGGTGTGTCCATGTTATGAAAGCACCTCACATGACCTAGTACTTTTCTTCATGTTGTTCTAAAAAGTTTGCTTTAAAACACTGTTGCATAAGACTGAAATTTTTCCCTCTTTGAGTGTCAAAACTTGATTTAAAACCCTTTACATTTACTCAAATGTGTTTTTTGTGGCTTTTTTCAGGAGGGGTTTGTTTTGAGACAGGCTCTTTCTATGCTACGCAGGCTAGTCTCAAAATTTGGGTGAAGGTAATGCTCCTGCCTCAGCCTTCCAAGAATCAATATTTTTCAGATTGGTTGTACACCAGCTTTCCTTCTTCAGCAGTAGCATGAATGGGACATATTTAGTCTTCCCTTGATGATTTGGGGTTATCAAGAAAACACCGATCATTATCTTATAAGAGGAAGCCCTTCGGAGCTTCTAAAGCAGGAGAGATACTTGCTTCTGACTCAAATAGACCCAGACACTTGTGGTTTTAGAGGCCCTGGGTCTATTTGAAGTTTTCTATCTCTTTTAGTTTCTTGTCATATTAGGGCGCCTACCTCCAACTTCTTCTGTGCTTCACCTCCATTATTCTTGATTCCCACCAGCTCTAAGTTCGATTTTACAAATTTTTATGTTGCCCTAAACCTTAACATCTGTGAAATCTGGGTGGTGAGAACATGGGGCTCTATTATGTGATTTTCTATATGGCTGAAAGAGTTCACTAAAGTTTTAAAGTTAAAACAATATTCTAGCCGGGTGTGGTGGTGCACGCCTGTAATCCCAGCCCTAGGGAGGTAGAGGCAGGAGGATCCTGCCAGTTCGAGGCCAACCCGGGCTACACATCAAGTTTAACGCCAACCTGAATTGTATAGTGAGACCCTGTCTCAAAAACAAACAAACAAACAAACAACACCAATATTTTTGTAAGCTTGCAAATCCAGTAGCCAGTTATTCTCAACTGCTCCATAGGCAGCCAGGGATCTGGGGCTAGCATCTGAATGACCCTCAATCTCGGCAACCCAGAGGCTCTGCTCACATCTGAATATGCTTCCAAACGCTCTCTGGGAAGGGAAAGACCGCTGCAAAATACTTCAGTTGCTTCAGCTGTTTACATGCTTTAAAACATGCATAAATAACCAAAATATGGTGGGTTTCAGGAGGAAAGAGCAAGCTTAACAAATCAGACCACACTTCTTAAACAAGAAGCCATTCTCAACAATTATAAAAACTGCCTAGAGAGTGGAATTTAAATATTTCTTGCTCTCTGGATTGGCATTTACCTAGATACCATTCCTGAGGTTCAGTGGGAAGGAAGAAGAAGGACTCACTCCTAGCCCACAAGGAGGAGAAATGGTATAAAACACTACTTGTGATGGAAACAAGAGTTTTCTGTTGGAGGCTCTAATTGGCAAGACATTTTGCCCCAGAAAATGAGAGGGAACATGAACAGACTCATGTGAGAAATACATTTTCATTTCCTTCCAAGGACGAGTTGGTGGGGGAACATGTTAGTGTAATAAACTTAGAAAGGAATTGGTAAAGGAAGAAAGAAATGAATACTTGTGTGTGGTTATGCTCTAGACAATGAAGAAGAAACATAGTAAACTGAATTTGAATTTAATTATTAGAAAACTCCAAATTGCAACTCCAAATTGCATAATCAAAACTCAAGAATTTAAGGAAAAATATATACAGTATCACACATATATATGTAATCTCTGATTTGACACTAGCTTTTCATCCATATGCCATTATACAAATATTTTATACTATTATAAAATTTGGCATACAGCAGGCAATGCAAAGTTAGAATCTATCAATGTAGGAGCAGGTGAGGGGAGGAGTGGTTGGAAGGAGAGAAATCTCTCCAGACCTGGGGACTCATTTTGTCTCTAGCTCTGCTGTGTTCAAATCTTGTGATTCATGAGGGTAGAAAATGTCTATCTTGTTCATCATCACATCCCAGCAGTTACCATGGAGCCTGGCACACAGTGGGAATTCAGTAAGTATGTGTGAAAAGTTAAACTTTAATAAAGCACAGTAACCATTCAGTATTCCCAGCAAATCAACAGATTTTTTAATTTTTCCAAATTTATTTGGAAAAACTATACATATTTATGGCATACAACATGAAGTGACAGATGTACACACTATGAAATGGTTATGTCAAGCGATTTAACATATCCATCACCCCACATACTTAGCGATTTCTGTTGTGACAGATCCTCTTTTAAAATGTACAAATCAAAAATTCAAAACAAACTGTACTGCTGACCCACATCCTACCAAGACCAAGTGGTCCTTTCAAATAAGTAAAAAGTATTCTGCACTTGGGCCTACTTAATAGCTTTAAGTGAACTTAAAAATAAAATAAGCTATTGAGCCTACAGTACACTAGAATTTTAAAACATTTATTCTGCTTGAACATGGTGTGGCATTGCATTTCCCTTTCTGAATAAAGTATTATTTTGCTCTCCTTGACAAAATGTCCAGAACAGGATTACCCACCTTTATAACTCTTTCTCTGTGCACCCATGCGTTCCCCAGATTCTATCCAAAGGACCTCAAGTTTAAATGAAAAGCAAACCCTCTTTGCAGTGGCTAGCAAAGAGAATCAGGCCTCTGAAACATGCCTGTGCTTTAGAACTGCCTCACAGTGTGAACATCATGAAGTTGGAAACCTTTGGGGAGTCAAAATGCAGGAAGTGATTTGGATGATTTGGAAGACAGACTTGATCATCTTGGCACTAGAAGCATCTCTCTGAAGTGGCTGAAATCCTCCAAAGGCAGCTGTTTGGTAACAAATATGTGTATGAAAACAGAAAAAAAAAATCGATTGGCTTGACATTTACAAAAATCCAGAAATTCCGTGTTGTTAGAACGATCAGCTATATTTTCTTGTGTCTCACACTGATGTTCTGACAAATTAGAAGCATCACTGGCTGTGATATCACATGGCTGTCTGAACCTGGACTGGCACCCGATCCCTCAAATGAGGTTCTTAAGGGCCCAGCCAGTTCTAAATTCAGGGACCACCATAACACTCATTCAAAAAAGAATCCTTATCATTACTTATCTCTAAACAACTCAAGTGGAAACAGCTTGTAGACACGGTTGCAGCTCAGCCTTTTTCTCCCCTTCAGTGCTACAGATTGAACCTTGGGCCTCATACATTCCAGGCAAGTACTCTACCTTTGAGCTACATCCCCAGCCCATTATTCATTTACACCATGTGTGCACACTGTAAGTGCTTAATCGATGTATGCTAATTAAATGTATAGAATAATATGTAAAGGAACTGGGTGAACACTCAAAGGAACAAACTTAGAAAAAGCACAGCCACAGTCTATAGTCATTTCAAAGCTGGCTTTGACCTGGTAAAAATGTTTCCATGTGAAGAAAAAACCCAAACATTTCTGGCCCATCTTTCTTAAAAGGGAAGATTGTCCTACATTTTCAAGGAAAAATTAAAAACCCCTCAAAGTCACCTGTAATCTGGAAAGCATGGCCTGGAATTCGGTCTACAGATGTGTTTTACTGGATCACTACAATGTTAGGCGGGGGGTGGTTTTTGTGGCTCATTTACTTTTAGTTTGCACCAGTTTTTAAATATCTGGATTCTTTTGGAAAAGTGCTGACCTCGGACTGGCATCCCCAGACAGGTACACTCCACTGGAGCTAAGAAGTTTCCTGTTTCCAGTTCTGTGGGGAGCAATCACTCTCCAGTACCCTTCAGTTCTCGCCTCTCCAACATGGTATCCCCCCTACACTCTGCT